TTGGACTAAATGCCGATCTACTAACGTGATCTTCTGATTGTTGTCTGCGTCGAGAGTTTGCATTTGGCAGGTGATTGCATCATACGGGTATCCGCGTAATCCCACTTCATTGGGAGGTTGCACTATGAGGATAGCACAAGGATTGTGGGTATACCCTACGTTCCTCAAGACATCCGGGATGAAATCACGATAGCAAAAGGCGACTCCACCAGTACTGGTGAGCTGAGTGGCAAGCTTGACTGGAACATTCCATTCCTCCTGAATGGGAGATGGAAACAAACGCTGTTGTGCGGCCTGTGGCATAGCTTCCCACACACGTGATGGCAACAGGTCTGGCTGTGAAACAGAATCCGATCCCTTACTCTTACCCTTGGCTTTGCCATATCCCTTTGCAGTTGGAGCTCCATTACCCAAAAGGATGTGCTGAAGCTTGTTGCAGGCATGTCGGCTCAAACTCCAATGGTTAAGGAGTGTGCATGTAAATGCGAGGCAAAGAATGCATACAGCAAAACACGAGATGCTATTGAAGCGTTGCGTGCATCGTCTCACCCCCTTCTCCATCATCACCCTCGGCATGCACTACCGGGTACCAGAATGCCCCCAAATACTCATGTATGGAATTGCATCAAGATGGATCTCCTTACGGGGTTTCTCAAAACAGGGGTACCCTTGGAGACCCTCGGGATACAGAGGCATTCCAAACAGATTTGGGGTTCCTTGCTAGGGATTAAGCAGGACATACATGTTTTGAGACATGATCCAATTGCCGTGGTGGGAGTTTTGGTCGGGCTTCGAGACCCTAAGGGTCCAAGTACCCAATAATTGGGCACTTGGGATTTGGGCAATAGTAGTTATAGGATAGGTTTTGGGTAAGTATGTGATTATTAGGTACTTGGACCCTTAGGGAGAGGAAGCTTCTGAAGGTTATTGTCCTCTGCACAGCCGGAGCGCGACCGTAAACATAGGGACACCAAAAAAAGTCAACATGTTCAGCGTTGCTCGCTTAAGTTTGTTTTGGATGGTCTAGCTGAACGGAAAACTTTTTTTAGAGAGTGAACTGGTGTGTTTTGATGTGACACCTATGTGTCTCACAGTGATACACACTATGCCCAGTATTCACGGGCCTAAATATCATTCTGAAGTCAATGTGAGGTACCCTATTACGTTATTCAAATATACGAGGAATCTAGGACCATCATGTTGGTAGCTGTTTAGGGCCCCTACAGTAACTGGGCAGAAGCACCACCCTACCCTTTGGAGCCCTATCAAGGGTTTATAGGTGGCCTTGTTAGGGGATATATATATATACATATGTATATACATATATATATATATACATACATAAATATATGGCGATCATGTGTTGGGACCTGGGAGGAGGAGGACGAGGAGAGTGGCTACATGAACAACACACAGGTGAAGCTGCCAGGAACACAGAAGGCCCAGACAACACCAAGGATTTCAGCTGCATCACAGAGAGCTCGAAGAGCCGGTCCGGACGATGCCCCAGAGAAAAACGTCCCTCACACCTCCCAGTAGCCGAGTCCCGAAGAGGGTTCAAGAGCAGAATGCCACTGCCAGCTCCCAGTGTGGCAAGGCTTGCAAGCAAGGCCGTCTCAAGTAGATCACCCAAAGTATGGTACTCAAAAGACACGCTCTACAATGCATCCTAGTAGGTGGGCAGACACGCTCTACAATGCATCTTAGTAGGTGGCCCGGCTTGGCTGGCTAGCGCAGACACCATCCTTGAAAGCACACCATCCTCAACGCCCAGAAGTTGACAGCCCAGGGACTTGCACAAGTCTTGCAAAGCGAAGAACAGCATGGAAGAAGCTTTAGGGTTTAGGGTTTTAGGGTTCAAGTATTGCCTCAAACTCCGCAAAGGCATCGAACCAACATACTCCCTCGCTAGGCCAACTGGGACAAGTACAGGGCATTGCCCCCTACTAGTGTAATTCAAGGCGTGCTCCGGAAAAAATGGAGCGGATACCGGGGTCCTTTTTGGAGCTCCACGTTGGCTCGGGGAAGGCTTGAAGGCTCTGTAAGGGCCGAAATACTTGCCAATATCATCTTGAAATCTAGTTGAAGCACTTCTTCCCTACAAGCCCGTATGTGGCACCAGTTTCAGTGTCAGTCTTCATTTCCTATTCCACCTGTTTCTCCATTATGGCTACCTAGCCCCCATACACCGCTATGTTGTCCCTATAAACCCCTTTAAAGGGACCCTAGAACTATGCAGACCTCTACATTACAACCAAATCCCCATCCGTATACCTTGCCTCGAATAGAGGAGAAGACGCTCAGCACCTGAAACCAAGTGAGTAGCATTTTTTGTGGTGCTTAAACCTAGTAAGGATGTATATATATATATATTCCTTGTATAAAATACTATACTCCAAAAAGGAGGATAGAATCTTACTCTATATTGGGTACCATAGTATCCCCAAATAAAATACTACTCATCAGGGGTTTAGGCTCTCAGCCTGGGGTCTACCAGGATCCGCAACTGCCCTTA